TCAATGCATTTGCCGTTAGCCAGATTTTTAATCCAGACTCACGTGGCCTTAATTCATTCTCATTTTCCTTTGCACTTTTTCTTTTTTTTTTTTTTGTGAGGAAGATCAGCCCTGAGCTAACACCTATGCCAATCCCCCTCTTTTTGCTGAGGAAGACTGGCCCTGGGCTAACATCTGTGCCTATCTTCCTCCACTTTATACGGGACGCCGCCACAGCATGGCCTGACAAGCGGTGCATCGGTGCACACCAGGGATCCGGACCCGGGCCGCCAGCAGTGGAACGCGCGCACTTAACCGCTACGCCACGGGGCCGGCCCCTCCTTTGCATTTTTCCTATCACCTGCACTTGCTGGCTCCTTTCTAGACACCTTACACCATTATGGAGAAAAAGCAAAGGATTACAACATCTAAACATGGCTTAAGAGTAGCCTTTCACTCCACTTTCTGCCACCCAGTAATTGATTAATATATAGTAATGATGAATAGATTGTGCCCACAATACCATTCCCATTCCTGGCCTGTGCTTGAGTTTTGTAGCTAGTGGTCAAAGTCCCCTCATCATAGCCTCAGGGAACAGACCCAGAGACTAAGACACTAAGGTTCAAGGCAGGCACCAAGGTTCAGGCAAGGTTGGGCATAAGCAGCAACAAAGAAGCTTGCTGTTGACTCAGCCTCAGCCTGGAAGCTTTTACATTTATGTAGGAAGGCCAGTCAGCAGGTAGGACTGCGAGAAGCCTGATGACCCCTCTCTACATTGCCACTGCTCCCCTCCCTCTGCCAACCCTGGGAATCGCAACATGGTTGCCGTCACGAGTCAACGTCAGTTATGGAGTGGGCCACATTCTCCAGTGTTGCCCCCTCCCCCCCAAATGGTGAGAACCACTGGTTTAGATGGAGATCCTTCAGGAGGTGGGGCTCAGTATGGAGGATACACCATCCCCTCCAATGACTGATTTGGGGACCTGTTGAAAGGCATAACACAAATGGCAGCTTTACTAGTAATCTTATAAAATTTTTAAAAACATTACTATGAATGTTCAATTTACGCTTCCCTTGATTTTTCTGTCTTGAGAATATTTGGACACCTTGACCTTTGGCTGTATGACATTTAATGCATGTTATGAGCTACTTTTTAAGCTTTATTCTCCCTTGTCCTTTTCTCTGTCTCAACTGTACGTATTTTCCCAACTTCCTCATTCCACTTAAGACTTTTAAATAGGCCCCCAAAGGGAACTACATTGTCTGAGTTACTAATATAGTCCCTGTTTACAGCCACCATGGTTACATATGCAGCTAGACAATAGCTGGGCAGCAGGTCAGAGAACATGTACAGGATGATGGAAGGGAGGAAAGGTCTGGGGGAAAATGGAAGTGGTAGATTCTCTTATGCACTGGACCACATGAAAAATCATCGTGAGAGGCTACGAGCAAAAGATACTCCAAAAACAAAGCAGATGGAAAAAGTGAATTATTAACCTCAGGAAAGACAAAAAGGTTTATAAGAAAGGAAATGTAATCATATCACACCATTTGGCTCAACGGGAAACAATGTTTTCGTGGACACAATGTAAACTCTTAACACAAATCCATCAAACAAATGTGGTAATATTATATTAAGAGATTATAAGGAGGGAAGTGTACGATAAGGGAGTTAAGTGTAAGTACTAAATCCTTATCAGACATACTAGGAAATCAATAAATGATATCTAACATTGAGAAAGCAAGAAAGAGCAGTTTAAGCATATTTTGTAGAAATATAAATATGATACCAGAAGAAACAGCTAAGCGTCAAAAATGGCAACCCCTGGTGAGCAAGAATGAAGGCTGGAGGAGGTGAAGAGGAATTTTTGTTTTTCATTACAAGCCTTTAAATACTATTTGACTCTGTTAACTATTTGCATATAGTACTCTAATAAAAATAAATTTTAATTTTAAAAAATATACATGAAAATTTGAAAGGCTATGAAGAGGTAGTTCACAGAAAAAGAACTGCAGACAACCCTTAAATACATGAAAAGATGTTTGACCTTATTAAAAATAAGAGAAATGCTAGGCTGGCCTGGTAGCATAGTGGTTAAGTTCATGTGCTCTGCTTCAGTGGCCCAGAGTTTGCAGGTTTGGATCCCGGGCACGGACCTACCCACTGCTTGTCAAGCCATGCTGTGGCAGCGTCCCATATAAAGTAGAGGAAGATGGGCACAGATGTCAGCCCAGGGCCAGTCTTCCTCAGCAAAAAGAGGAGGATTGGCAAGAGATGTCAGCTCAGGGCTAATCTTCCTCACACACACAAAAAAAAGAAAGAGAAATGCAAATTAAAACTAAATTGAGATATTGTTTCTCATCTATCAGATCGGGAAAAATCCCAAAGTTTGATAACATCTCTTTTGGCAAGGCTGTGGGGAATGCAAAATGATTGAACCCCTTTCAAGAAGAATATGGCAATATCCAGTAAAACCACAGATGCATTTCTCTTTGACTCAGCAAACTCTCTTCTAGAAATGCACCCCCAGACACTCTTGCATGCATGTGAAATGATATATGTGTAAGGTTATTCATTACAACATTGTTTGTAATGGTAAAAGATTAGAAACAATCCAAACATCTGTCAATAGGGGACTTGTTAAATAAACTATGGTTCAATCACTTAGTGGAAAATATTTATGTTCTCAATGAATAAAGAAAAAAACCTGCATAATTTTACAACCAGCTTCCAGGCCCTCCAAGGTGCAGATGGCTGTGTCGGAAGCTCCTCAGACAGCAGACTCTTTGCCTTCTAAATTCTGAACATAAGGGGAACTTGTCTCCCAGCCCCTTTCAAAATCTTAGAAACAAAGCAAGACAGGCAGTGAGGCAATGTGAGACTTCATGTCGGTCCTAGGTCCAAATCCCCCTTGGTCACTTTATTAACTGAGACACTCCGGGCTTTGGTTCCTCATCTGTAAATGAGGATAAAATTCCCTGCCTCGGAGGGTTGCTGTGGGATAATGTATGTGACCCAGGTGGCACAGGGCCTGGCCCACTATAATAAGTGCTCAACCACAGAAGTTATTATTAATAGCAGTACCGGAAAAAAGAATCCTGTCTCCAGGACTGTGTTCATTATAGGAGGAAAGTCATGTTGGAAATACCAAGATAAGAATCAGAAGTCAGTGCTCTGAAGAAAAGAATAGAAGGAATTTCCCTTCATGACCAGGCAGTTTTGGAAGAGACTTCGGCCGCCGGCAGACACATGCACCGCATGGGTGCCTCCAGCATCTCATGGCCGCCGCCTTCTCTGAGGACTGGCAGACGCCTTCCCTAAGTATCCTACATCAGCAGGGTCAGAAGGACCTAAGCCCACACACCTTCTGTTTAGGGTGAGAAACCTGAGGACAAGAGAAACCAGTGATGTACTCGAGAGCACACTGCCAGCAATCCTGTTCCGTAGCCGGGCCGAGCCACCAACAAAATTGCTTATCAGGTAAAGATTTTACGATAGCGGTTTTCCAGTGATTCAAAACAGAAAGAATAAACCTAAAAGTGAGCACTCAGGACATTGAGCTAAGTTGACTTTCATTCATTTCTGAAAGGGGCTGTGATCAATGTGCAAGTGTATGATCAATATTGGTGGAGTAAGTGATATCTTTATCTGTGTCAACCCGTCTTTATGGCTGTGCCTACACTTTGCCTTTTATACACTTCTTGTAGAATGAAGCCCCAAGTTTAATGGCAGTTTGTATTGCAGTAAAAACAAGGATTTCTAGAATGTGGCCAATCCCTGCTCCAGCATGACCAGATATGTAATGTTGAGTTTCCACTTCCTCATCTGTAATAGGGGACATCAGCCACCTTCATTGTGCTGCTGCAAAAATAAAATCAGATAACTATGTCTGTCTGGCACGTAGCAGGCACTACTTCTCAGAAACCCAGATATCTCTCACCTTGTCTACAAATGGGATCTAATCATTCCCAGATCAACCTACTGACCCTGCTCTTTGAATTCCAAAGAAAGACTCCTCCCTAGCATCTCAAAAAAATGAAAAAAATAAAATACCATCCATTTACATAGGTAAGTAGTTTTTAATTTTCTCAGCCAGAACCAGGAGTTAAGAAGAATCCAGTTAAGAAGAATTATAAGGGTATTTCTTTTTCAAGTTCCCCAAATACCTTCTTCATCCACGTTTCCTTGAGGACTGGTTCCCACCATGTCTATGCCAATCTGGAGAATTCTGGATCCAGCCATGTTCACTGGGTTCCTGATTCTCTCACCTACTCCATGCATTTATTTGCTCATGGTAAACACTCAATAAATGGTTCTTAGCCGAATGTGGTGAAGATTTCAACAAAGAAATAGTGAGCGTCTACTGTATGCTAGGCACTATATGAGACCCTTTTCCCTCTTATATTTAATTATTACAACAATCCTGAGAGGTGATCATCATTGTCCCCACATTACAGAGGACAAAACAGAAACTCGGAATTAAGTGACTTGCCTAACGTCCCGTGATCAGGAAGGGGCAGAGTGGAGTGGAACCCAGGTTTCCAAGTTTGTTGTAACTTTGAGCAGCTTCCTTCTAAAGCATTTTCTAACTGCTTTCCCTTCCCATCCACCCCCTGCCACACACAGAAGCCCCTAATTTTCAGCAAGTCATTTGGTAACTCCAAAAAAGGGGCCACATCCTTTTCTCTGTCTCCATTGATGAACAAGGACAACATCATGTTTCCAACTAGTCAGACAGAGGGGGAAAAATCCCCATGACTTCAGTAATTTTCCGTCCTCTGGAACAAGCACATTCACATAGAATATTTAACCAATATATAAACATCTCTTTTAATATGACTTAAATCCTAAAATCTAACGTTCAATAGTTTCCTTTCTTGTATCTTGAATAGACACACAAACCTAAATAGATATACAAACCGTAAATGCAACAGCTAACTAGTTAGATAGGGCTCTCACATCAATACAGATTTTCCTTACAACTTGCACCCAGTTTGACTCTGGAGCTACGCATGCTGACCTGAAATAGTTGCTGGCTGCGGCAAGCACCACGCGGTGGCAGGAGAATTCCTGAATGTCCACACACAAGACGACATCTGTCAGAGCATTTTCCACTCGGAGGGTCTCCAGGCCATTCTGCAGAATTAAGGAGAGTCCCGTGTCGTCAAATTTTACCTTATCCCCATTTAAGATTTCTACCATGTCTCCCCTTTTCTGGGAGGGCTCATCTGTAGAAGGTGCCAGGGGCCCTTCCAAACTCTTCTCTACCACATCGCCCATGGTCCAGGTGCCCCTTTGTCCTGCCATCAACATCCAGACTGAAGGAGCGCCCAAGTTCCAGGCAGGTCACATTGCAGAAGCTGAGCGGATTTCCTGTGCAGGGCGCTCCACTTATCACCAGCTGTCACACACACATAACAGGAAGTCTTGCACTTTCTCATCCTGTTACTACAAACGCCAGTAACTTCTATTCTTCTTCTTTCTGTGAATCAACACAAGGTTAGAAGTTACTTAGAAGGGGTGTGTAGGAAGGGGCTCTGGGAGAGAAGGGGTGGCTTCTTAGAGTCTGCTGTTAGTGCTATGTGGTTATTTTGGTCCATCTCCCCCCTCATATCCGTGAGCAGGAAGCCTCTGGTTCTGGTTATTACATTTGTTCTCCTGGTGCTTCTATAACCCAAGTTGTTGGTGATGAAATGGACAGGGGCATTCTATGATCCTCCCCCTCCTTCCTCCCAAGAGTCTGAGACCCCATGATGAGCCCCCACCCAGTTCCATGGGAACCTTGGAAAACCTGTTTATCTCTGGCATTCTCATTTCTATCAGCACTGCACATCTTCTGTCTTTATCTTCCTCCCTGCTCAAGGGAAAACAACATCATGGCAAATATTAATGTTGCCCACCCTCCCCCAAAAAATGTCTGTTGTTTCAGATATGACTCTGGGGGCAGAGAAGAAATGGTCTCCAGAACTCCATCCCCAGAGTCTTCTCCCTTAGAAACCCAGTCAAGATAGGTCAACACTGGATTGCCCTAGCAAGTCTCAAATTGGTCTGGTCTCACCCAGCATCTATTGGTCAAGCACCTAGTGGTGGATCGTGAAGTATTTTCATTACCTCGACAGGTCTCCGTTAAATAGTCATAACTCTTTTATTATTAAACTCTCACTATATCCTAGGGAATTTACAGGAGTTAATGTATTTTAATCCTTATAACGACCCAGTGGGGTACTTTCCTCATTTTATGGCTAAGGAAACTGAAGCTCTGCTCAAGTGAGTGACAGGGCCCAGTTCTGTGTGGCTCCAAAGCTCCTGTTTCCTCCAGCAGCATCAGGCTATCAGAGCTGTAATATCATGTTGGCCCTAACTCCTGAGTCTCCCATGGAGAGAACTCAGGGCTTTCCTGTCATGGCTGCACCAGTCCCAGTGCCTCACCAAAGTGGCCTCTGCTGTCTCACTCCTGCTCTCATTCACCTTCTAGCAGTGGGGAGCACTACCAGTCCTCCTGATCAACAGAAGTCCTGATCCTTTCTCTGTCCTCGTCAGTGGTGAGTGAGTCCTCTCCAGGAGTCCCAGTTTGGCCTCAGCTCTTCTTCTCTTCCATGGATACCTACTCTTAAAATCAGAGTCTTTGAAATTCCCCCCAAACTTGTTCTTTATCTAGAGCTCTGTCAAACAAGATGGTTTGGGCTTGAATAACAGATTATCCCATCAAAAGTTTTTTAAACAATAGAAGTCTCACATTATAGGAAGCCAGAGGTGTGGAGTCCCAAATTGATCCAGAAGCTCAGTGATATCAAGAACCCAAGCTTTTCGGGGCCGGCCCGGTGGCGCAAGTGGTTAAGTGTGCACACCCGGGGTTTGCCGGATCGGATCCCAGGCGCGACCGAAGCACTGCTTGGCAATCCATGCTGTGGCAGCGTCCCATATAAAGTGGAGGAAGATGGGCACAGATGTTAGCCCATGGCCAGTCTTCTCCAGCAAAAAGAGAGGAGGATTGGCGGATGTTAGCACAGGGCTGATCTCCTCACAAAAAAAAAAAAAAAAAGAACCCAAGATTTTTCCATCTTTCCATTCTGTTATCCTCAGTGTGATGGAGATGTCCCCTCATGGTCACATACTAGCTGCCACAGTACAAGACACCATGTCTTCACACAACCCCAGTCCAATATCAGGAAGAAAAAGAGCGGGCCTCTTTTCCATCACTCTTTTTACCAGAGAGAAAATATTTCCTAAAATCCTCATGAGACTTCTAGGCCACCTCATACCAAACACCAGGAAGTATAAATGCAGTACCGTGATTGGCTTGAACCAAACTTGATTTATCCACTGAGACTAGTCCACCCAAGATCAAGGAATAGCCATGTGATAGCTGAACAAAATCAGAGCCTGTTAGCATAGAAGAGGGGGAAAGGCTGGTATACAGTTAATCTAACTCTTCCTGCAGGCCTTGGCTGGGAGGAGCTCAGAACTTCAACCTCCCTGACTCTAACCATCACCTCTAGTGGAGCTGAGGACAACACATGACCCAATCCCTTTCATGGCATTTTGTCCTCCAAAATCTCTCCAATTATAAACAACATCGGCCATATTCAACTCCAACACAACCACCCCAAACACAACAAAATTAAAAATAAAACTCAATTTTTAATTCATGATGGATCCTATTTACCAAGTTCCCTTATTATTTTTTGTATAGCTCCCAAACCCACCCACCCCATCCCCTGACTTAAACAGTTAACTGTTAGCTTCCCCCCAACCCTCCTTTTTTCTAATAGGCCAGCACAAGCAGAGTTGTACCATAAGTGTAATAATATCTATGACTAGATTTTAGTGCAAAGGTGAAAAGCATAACCAGTTTTGCATCTGTCTTAACCTGAATATACCCTGAGATTCAGTGCGAACTGGTAAATATTCTTTATTGCTACAGGCAAAATGATTCTGTTCTGTGGAAGTTTTAGTTTTGCTTACCAGGCAACAAAATGTTGCCATTGGAAAACTTTATTACTGAGAAAAAAATCTTATTATACCTTACTAAGCTATTTGCTTTATGATGCTTGTAAGGACTAGATTCTGTCCCCGTACAAGCAGATTGCTTTACTCAAGGAAAATCTCTATTCCTAAGGCCACAGATTGCCCCTTCTGATTCATCAACTGTTTTCTCTAACACAAATTATAGCGATAGAAACAAGTCTAAGTCAGCTACAGAGGAAGAACCACTGTTCCATCATGTTAACTTATTGCTACTAAAACTGCCATTTATTGAGCATCAACTATGTTCCAAGAACTATGAGAAGCACTTTATGAACTCTAATGCACTTAATCTTCCCGCTAATCCAGTGTAGTTAAGTACTATGATCTCCATTTTAGAAACATGAAAGCAGACAAAGTCACATAATTTTAGCACACAATATCGGTGTCACCGCCATATCCCCTTAGCTCATCCTAGAGGTCACCCACAGACAGTTCTCATCTACACCAAAAACATCACTACCTGAGAGCATTCTCTGGCTATAAGGGCATGCTGGCTCACCAAAGGTACTAGAGAATTAATGCCCCCAAGAGTGACCTTCAACTGAGGGCCAGGAATTGGTAGATAAATAGGCTAGCTTCTATGTCTCTTGGTGGAACAATACTGAAGTGTGCTCTACACTGTCTGTCAGAGGACTCCCAGAGCACTGAGCCCCAGTTGCCCATAGTAGTAACCCACTCATCCTCTAAGGGCTTCCTGCCCTTCCATCTCACTTCCCTCACCCCATCATTGTGTTTCCCATATAAACTTCTTGTACCCAATCCTTGTCTTAAAGTGTGGTTTAGGGGGAAGCCAAATTAAGACACATAGCTACTTAGTGGTAGAATCAAGATTTGAATTCAGGTCTGGCTAATTCTAAAACCCATGCTTTCCACTTTCCAATGTTCTTCAGTGACCCCAATGGAATCTCAATCCCAAGGAGATGCTTTCCCAGAATCACTGCAATACAACTGTGACTTTGATTCTTCATAGTCAGGAGATTCTGTCTCCTTCAATCAACCTAGCCAATGTCTAGTCAGCTCTGGCTCTGTGCTGCACCCCAATGATCAAGGGCCTAACTCACGGTTGACAGTAAGGACTTCACAAAGCCAACTAGACCATGCTTACCTTTGTAGGGGGCAGCCACAATTGCAAAGGCACCAAAGCATCACAAGCTGCCCCTGCAGTGTCTCTGGGCCTCTGTCTACTACATTTGCTAGGGCCATACTTCCCTGAACACCACCATTGCCAACAGCCCAGTGCTTCCAGTGCTGTCTCCCAGAGAGGGAGTGAACCCTCTTTTTCCTGTTCTGATGTTGGTAGAAAGGCCACAAGGGCTCATCCTGGTATCCTTTCTTTCCTGCTTCTCAGAATCTTTGAGTTGCTGCTGTTCCATGCCCCCATATGGCTGCTATCACTATATGTGGGGTTAACACCCTGTATGGGGCTACCACCAATTCAGACAGAAGCCATCTATTGCCCTACACAAGCCAGACAAGCCATCTATTCCCCTAAACAGAAGCTTCTTGTTCCTGATTCACAGTCTGTGAATGAGGGGGCAATGAGACAACAGTTCTGCAGGATTTATAAAATAATTCATTAAAGTGGCTAGAAACAAGATAAAAATACAAAAATTGTTTCCCAGTATGCCAACAGTAGCCAGCTAGAAAATGTAATGAAAAAATAGTCATTCGCAATTGTAATAAAACACAGGTAAATGCCTAGGAGTAACCTTAACAAGAAATGTAAGAGAAAACTAACAAACTTTACTAAGAGATTTAAAAGAAAACTTGAATAAATATACCAAATGAAAACAAAAGAATAAAGACTACTGTGATACACTCTCTCTCTTCCCAAACAATCACCACCATCCTCCCATCAATTATATTTATATAAATAAAAGTATAAGATACATTGTATGCATAAGCATAGAGTTGAGCTGTATGGTGTTTACAAGGATGTGCAGTGCCTCATAATAATTCGCTGAAGCTATATATTTTTTGTGTCATTTTCTATATCTATGCTTTGTTTGACAACAAAAAGGTAAAACAGTCACCATTTATTGAACACCTACCAGATGCAAGGGCTTTGCCGACCATCATCTCTTTTAAGGCTTACAATAATCCTTGGAAGTAGGTGTCATTGTTCCTCAACTTAGGCATGTGGAAACAGGCTAACAGAGGGTTAATGGTTGTTAAGGTCACGCAGGCCCCATCTCATCTTTTGTCTCCTCTCACTCAGCCCCTTGATCCAAAGAAATGGAGTTAAGATTCAAACCCTATATGCTCCCTCCAAAGCCCGGGTTCTTGAATGCTATGATGTATTCTCTCACTATGATTTTTTAGCTACATATTCTGTCTCCATATATGCTCAGAGTTTTC